GAAGAATTGTCCCTTTCTAGCTCTTTCGGGCAATTCTTCACCCAAGAGTTCTTGAGTTATGGAGTAGTCAACATTTGTTCTCTCATTCACTACCAAACCATTTACACGTAAACCCGTCAACATGTGGACATCTTCAAGGGTGACTGTGGATTCACCGGTAGGAAGATGGAATGTGTGTGTCTTCGGACGCCATCTTTCACATAAAGCGAGAATGAATTTCCTATCAACACCATATGACATTATGTTGATAACGTGCCCAAAGTCCGCTTGCATCAGATATGGACGGATCATTTCGTCTACGGGCACATACGAGTGTGTATGAGGCCTAAATTTTTTCTCATTCTAAAAAATAAAATAGTTAATATTAGAAGATGGTTAATGTCAGAAGTATATTCTAAAAATTTAAAAAACTTTATAAGTAAATATATTCAATACTTACATATTGGAGTATGTTTGACAATGTTCCTCGATGCTCCTCTCCATAAGTTAACAGAGACATTATAGAAAATTTAGTTTGGTGTAGAATTATGATGAGAAAGAACAGATAAAGATTGAGTATGATGTAAATTTTGAAAACAAATAGTATTTATAGAGAAAAAATGAAGGGTTTTATGCAAAATATTTAATGGAAATAAGTAAATGGTTGGGAGTAATAACTTTGCCATGCATACTGTGTACGTAAACTGTGTTGCATGCACAGCTTTACAGAATCCGCATCCTCAATGGGCGGAACCATTGGCATTTTCTGACACGCCGCTGATACGTTGGGCGGATACGTTACTTTTTGGTCTGCCATCCGCGTAATTAATGGGCGGAAGCGTGTAATTTGACCTGCCAATGTCGCAGGAGCAATGGGCGGAGCCCATACCAACATCAATGCTTCCGCCTTCCCATTGGGTGGAGCCACTACACACATTAATGCCACCGCATCTGCAATGGGCGGATGGGTTGATTTTGTCAGTTTGACCATTAAACAGTAAATATTCCTACATTTATTTATTATAATATATTTACTAAAGACAAAATATATTTCATTTAAATTCAGTTCTTCTTCCTACAATTTTTCATCCACCCAACCCATTTCAAAAACAAATTTTTCCTATAATTCAGCTCTTGTTCACTAACAAATCATCATGTCTCAAACACCTCAATATGTAGTGGATGCTCATTACAATGGAGAGATCCTCATCTCTGATGATATGGGCATTATATTCGAAAATACCGATATATGCCGGTTCAAATTAAGTAGAAATGCGAAGTTTAAATATTTGAGGGAGAGGATACAAACAAGGATGCAATCTGGATCTGTCTCACAAATTATATATCGAAATGCTGTTAATTTCAGTGTGAACCAGGTGAAATATGTTCCATTGAAAATCCGAGATGATGATGATGTGGAAACAATGTTTTACAATCATGAATTATCTGGGTTACATGCGATAGATTTATACATAAAATTTTAACTTTCTCAACAATCTCAAATCTCACAAGTGGCCAATCCCAATGAGGCTGAGCCCGTGTCCATAATTCCCGAGGAAGTCGTTGTCGAAGATGACGAAGAAGAAGAGACTGAGTCACAAGCTGATGATTTGTTCACTACCTTATTCGAAGACGGTGGACGTGACGAGGCGGGTGCAATCAACGAAACTGAACAACATATTTCACTTGAGAATGTCTATTGTCCACCCGCCCACATGACAACTCTGGGAACAACTGGAGACGAATCATCATTTGAATGGCCCCAAAATCCTCGTCTTCCGTTGGAGGATGACATAGCTGTTGGGAACCAGTTCAAAAACAAATCTGACTATGTCTTTGCGATATCCAGGTATCATATGAAACATGTCATTGATTTCAGGGTTACATGTTCTGACACGAAGAGATATAAAATTTGTTGTAAGCGTAGTGGTTGCAACTTTCGTCTAGTGGCATCCTATAGGAAAAGGAGCGACCTATGGGAGATATGAATCATGGAGCCCCTACATAATTGTTCAACGATTATCTTTAATCAGGATCATCAACAACTAAGCTCTCGACTGATGAGTGAACGATTAATGACTCTTGTTGAAAAGGATCCCTCTATCAAGGTGAGTGTATGTATTAACGAAATTGTTTCTTTTTTCAAATACACTCCATTTTACAAGAAAGCATGGATTGCTAGAAACAAAGCAATCGAACAAGTGTTTGGTAATTGGGAAAAGTCATACAATGAACTTCCAAATTACTTGTTGGCCCTTAAGAAGTTTTTTCCAGGCACTGTAGTAGAAATGCAAACACTACTGGTATATACAGATGACGAGACTATTATTACTGGGAAACAAATCTTCCATCGACTATTTTAGGCTTTCCAACCATGTATATGTGGCTTTGCATATTGCAAGCCTTTACTACAGATTGATGGTACCTGGTTATATGGAAGGTACAAAGGTACACTACTAATGGATGTAGCACAAGACAGAAACAACAATATTTTCCCAGTTGCCTTTGCCCTAGTGGAAGGTGAGACGGCGGATGGTTGGGGTTTATTTCTAAAAAACTTGAGAATGCATGTAGCTCCTCAACCTGGCTTGTGTTTGATTTCTGACCGACATACATCTATCGAAAGCGCTTATAACAATCCTGAAAATGGTTGGAATAACACTACATTTGTCCATGTGTATTGTATCAGGCATATTGCGCAAAATTTTATTAAGGATATCAAGGACCATATCCTCCGGAAAAAAATAATCAACATGGGTAAGTACCTTTTATGCAAACATTACATGCTTGTTGATAGTATACCATTATATTAACCAATATTTTTTGTAACATGTAGGGTATGTGTTGAACCAACCAACATTTAAATATTATCGTAATCAAATTGGGATGGCTAATGATGATGCTTTGAGGTGGATAGACAAAATTCCAGTTGAAAAATGGATGAGGGCATTTGACGAGGGTCGTCGTTGGGGGCACATGACAACAAACCTTGTCGAGTCACTAAATTCCGTATTTAAAGGCACTCGTAATATCCCCGTCATAGTGTGAGTAAGTGCAACATACTATAGGATGTGAACACTCTTTGCTGAAAGGGGTGCAAAGTGGAGTGCAGTTTTGAATTCTGGACAAACATTTACAGAGCGGTGCGTGAAGGTGATGAAAGAAAAGACGTCAAAATCCGCCACGCATCAGGTAAGCATTTTTTACTATAATAATAACACTTTCAGTGTGAAGGATACAATTAACCAAGGTGAGGGGAAGCCATTGGGGCGTTACAAGGTCAACCTAATGGAAGGATGGTGTGACTGCGGAAAGTTTCAAGCATATCGTGTTCCTTGTTCACATGTTATCGCTGAATGTTCCGTGGTGCGCCAAGACGCATTTCTTCTATTGTCTGACATTTACAAGGTGGAGAACTTATTTGGGGTTTACAGCACGAGCTTTCCAGTTCTACCATACGATGAGTATTGGCCCACTTATGAGGGAGATCAAATTTTCCATAATCTAGTTATGCGGAGGAACAAGAAAGGTCGTCTCGTGAGCACCCGTATTACAACAGAAATGGACGCATATGATAAGTTGGAGAGAAAAATGCACATTGTGTTGTCTTCCAGGTCACAACCGAACGTGATGCCCCAATGTAGGAACTAGTAATAATTAGTTATTCATTTTGTTATCAATCTGCAAAGTTGTATGTATAATGACGCCAAGAAATTATGTTTCATTTCACTAATACTTCTGCATTAATATAAATAACAATTCGAAAAAACAACACATAAATTAAAATACTAAGACGAATAGTAGAACTTAGCAACAACATTAAACCTAAACAACATCAACATGTTCAAACAAAGACATAAGCATTTCTAGGATATTACAACTAGCAACACAATATCTTTTTGTTGAAGCATCATCATAAGAACACATGCGTCGTTGTGAACAAGTCTCCAAGAACGAGTGGGTCCATTTAAGTCAGGCACCGTAACTAGCCTCTCAATTTTCCGGATCTTTTAACCTTGGGAAATTTCTTCCCCTAACCATCCCTCCAAGTGCCAATGCAGATGCTCAAATGTCTGCGTGTTCAACAATTTGATCTTCATCGGAGGCTTTACTGGAGAAAAAATCAGTTCTGCGTCTCTTTTCATATATGGAAACATTGGAAACTCTCCGGATGTTGAAGACATTTTTAAGATACAACTAAAGAAAAATAATTTAAGTATAGCTAGGATCATTCAACATCAACGATATTTATAGTTCACAGCAAAAATTTTAAATTAATAAAATAATAAAACCCTCCGCCCATTACAGTGGCGGAGACGTACAAAAATAATAAAATAACGAAAGCTTTCGCCCATTGCACTGGCGGAATCGTACTTAAATAATAAAATAATAAAATCAATAAAAACCTCCTTCCATTGTAGGGGAGGAGTCGTACTGTAATAATAAAATAACAAGACCCTCCGCCCATTACACTGGCGGAACCGTACTTAAATAATAAAACTCTTCACCCATTACAGTGGCGAAACCGTTTTTATTTATTACCATGATTAATATTTATTTTAATTTAAACTTATTTTTAAATATTGATTTTAATATTGATTTTTTATTTAATAGTAATTTTAATTTATTTTTAAAATTATATTAAAAAAAACGTTATTTAAACAGTTCCGCCAATGTAATGGGCGGAAGCTGTATAAGTTTAAGACCATCCACCCATCCATTGGACGGAGCCTCCTAATTTCAATTTTTTTTGGAAAGGTGGTATAGTGGGAATATTGATTGAAATGTGTGGTATATTAGGATTTAGTTGGTAAAAATGGTGTATGTTGATAAAAAATTCAGAAATATTAGTTAAGAGATAGATAACTGAAAGTCACCCAAACATCCAAGTTTAAAGTAACCCAAACGCAATCCATATTTTTCCATTAAAAGCCGCACATTTTTCGTTTATATGCTCTAACTTCTAGTCAACCTTCGCAAAGTGATACCCAGAACCCTTCATATCAACACTCTCTTTCTCCATGGCCAAGAAAACCCTCTCTTCTTCTCAAGCTTCATCTCAAAACTCACATGCACACAAAACCCTTCCAGATCCAACACAAACAACACTCTCATCTCAATCTCAACCACTACAAATCCAACCACTTCCCACTTCAAACTCTCTCCGCCCTGACCGTTCCAAGAAACCCACACCCCTCACCATCGCTGAATCCTCCAAAAGGACCCAGAGAATCTGCTTCACTCCCGACAATGTGTTGCTCATTCTTAAATCCCTTTCAGATTTCAAATCCAAAACGGGAAAAGACCCAGTCAAACACCTCACTGATTTTCATGATTCATTGAAAAGTTCTCTCAAGATCAAAACTACAGAAAGGAAACTCGGAGAGAAGATTCGGGTGTTGAGGATCAAGTTCGAGAAGCAACGTGAAACTGACGAAAAATACATTTATTTTTCCAATACTTTTGAAGAGCGAGTTTTTGAACTTTATAAGAAATTTTAAGGTCAATATAATCAAGTTGAAGGAAAAGAAAAATCACCCAAGATGGATAATGCTACTAAGAAACTGATGCTGGAAGAACCACCCAAGAAGGAAAATGCTACTAAGAAACCATCAATATCGAAGAAATCGAGACATGCTGCTTAGAAATGAGTTATGCATGTTGAAATTTTTAGCTAGTAAATCTAATATAATATGGTAGTCTTTTGTTCTAGATTTGTAGTTATTTTGGATATAACAACTAAATGGTTGATTAATGCTGTAAAAGAGGAAATAACGATTCTCGAGGAAGTGCTAGAGATTTTTGAGAATTTTAAGGATTTGACTGCAGAGGAATTACCAAATGATTTGTTTCCCATGTGAAATATTAAACATCCAATTGATCTCATCTCGGGGTCTAGATTACCAAACTTTTCTCACTATCGTAAGAGCTCTAAGGAGAATGAGATTTTAAGGGAGCGTGTTGAAGATTTATTGAATAATTGATTTATTCGTAAGAGCATGAGTCCATGTGCAATACCAGTCCTTTTAGTCCCTAAGAAAGAAAATTTGTGGTGAATGTGTGTTGACAGTTGAGCCATCAATAAGATAACTATCAAGTAATGATTCCCAATTCCATGCTTGGAAGACGTGCTTGACGAGTTGGCCGGTTCTAAGGTATTCTCAAAAATAGATACGTATAGTGATTACCATCAGATCAGAATCAGACCCGAAGATGAATGTAAAACAACTTTCAAGAGCAAATATGGATTGTATGAGTGTTTGGTAATGCCTTTTGGTTTGTCAAACTCCCCTAACACCTTCATGCAATTGATGAATCAGGTTTTGCGCCTATTTACTAGTTCTTTTATAATGGTTTATTTTGATGATATTCTAATTTACAATAAAACATAGACAGGGCATTTGTACCATGTGAGATAAGTGTTGTAAGTCTTACATGAGAACCAGTTGTACATTAATCTAAAAAAATGTAGATTCATCACCACCAAGTTACTTTTCTTAGGCTTTGTTGTTGGTGAAGAAGGGATTCAGGTTGATGAAGATAAGGTGAGTGCTCTAAGGGAGTGGATTACACCTAAATCTGTGACTGAGGTTCATAGCTTTCATGGTCTATCCATCTTCTATAGGCAGATTATCAAGGATTTCAATATTATCATTGCACTTATTACTGAATGTTTGAAGAAAGGGAATTTCAATTGGGGTTTTGAGCAAGAGTAGATTTTTGCACTGATTAAGGAAAAACTGTGTACCACACCGGTATTAGAACTTCCTGATTTTGATAAGGTGTTCCAAGTTGAATGTGATTCTAGTGGAGTGGGAATAGGAGCCGTGTTATTTTAGGAGAAGAAACCTATAGCCTTTTTCACGGAAAAATTAAACGATGCTTGCCAGAAATGGAGCACTTATGATCAAGAATTCTATGCAGTCTTTAGAGCTCTACGCTAGTGGGAACATTATTTTGTTCAAAGGGAGTTCACTCAATTCAATGACCATCAAACTTTGAATTTTCTTCACAGTCATAAGGTGATTAACAAGATCATGCTCGGTGGATGAGTTTTTTTTGCAAAAATCTCCTTTTAATATTCAACATAAGTTACAGACTCTTAACGAGGTAGCGGGTGCATTGAGTAGGAAGGCTTCCTTGCTAATTACCTTAGTGAAGAAGATAATAGGTTTTTAGTGCCTGGAAGAGTTGTATGAAAGTGATGTTAAGTTCAAGGAGTTATGTGTAAAGTGCAGTGGAAAACATCCTTGTGCAAATTTTCATATTCGAGATGACTATCTTTTAAATGGGATCAACTATACATTCCTTGCTCCTCTTTAAGAGAAAAGCTAATTCGAGACCGACATGGTGGTGGTCTTAGCGGTCATTTGGGTAGAGACAAGACCATTGCTAGTCTGGAGGAGAGACATTATTTTCCACACTTAAGGAGAGACGCCGATACTATAGTCATGAGGTGTTATACTTGTCAGGTTTCTAAGGGTCCGACTCAAAATACTGGTCTTTATATGCCTTTACGTATTCCTGGTGATATTTGGCAAGATTTAGCCATGCACTTTGTGTAGGGTTTGCCTCGTACACAGTGAGGTGTAGATTCTGTGTTTGTCCTAGTAGACAAATTATCCAAGATGACCCACTTTATTACTTATAAGAAGACTGTTGATGCGTCCAATATAGCCAAACTGTTTTTCAGGGAGGTTGTGCGTCTTCACGGGGTTCCTAAGTCAATTACTTCAGACAGAGACACCAAATTTCTCAGTCATTTCTAGATTACTCTTTGGAGATTGTTTGGAATCGTGCTGAACAGGAGTTCTACAACCCATCCTCAAACAGATGGACAAACTGAGGTAACCAACATAACTTTAGGAAATATGATTCGAAGTGTTCGTGGTGACAAGCTCAAACAATGGGATTTATTCTTGCCTCTGGTCGAGTTTGCTTACAACAACGTTGTACATTCAGCTACAGGAAAATCACCATTCTCCATGGTCTATAATTTTGTTCCTAAGAATATGGTTGATTTGGTTAAGTTGTCTAAGGTGTATGGAGTTAGCGTGGCTACTAAAAATATGGTAGAGGAAATAGTGACCGTTAAAGAAGATGTCAAGGCTAAGTTAGAGGCTACTGGGCAGAAGAATAAAGAAGCTGCTGACAAACGCATGAGAGTCAAAGTTTTCAATATAGGAGACAATGTGATGGAGTTTATGTGCAAAGAGAGATTCCCGGTTGGTACTTACAACAAGTTACAACCACACAAATATGGATTGTTCAAAGTGATCCGAAAGATCAATGATAATGCTTATGTGGTAGTCTTCCCATATGTCATAAATATATCTAATACGTTTAAAGTTACTGACATTCATGAGTGTCAAGCAAATATAACTCTTTATCAAGAAGAGAATTTGGGGTCGAGTTCTTTAGAGGTGGAAGAGACTGATGTAGGAAGGCTGGTCACGCGTATCGAAAAAGAAATCACGCATAAGAAAATATTTTAATATTTAATCAATTTTTTTTTTTTAATATTTAAGCAATTTCTATTTTATTTGTTTTATTTAATTCTGTTTTGGATTAAAAGCCTATAAGGTTCAATCTATTAGAGTTTCTTTATTTTTTGTATTTAAAAGTATTTGACGTGACCATAAGAATTATTTTTCATATAATAAAATTTAAAATTTTCTTTATTCTTAATTGACTCCAAAATTTATCTAATAGATTTTGCCCTTACTGCTATGTATTTTATTCTAGATTTTACACTTACAAATATGTTCTTTATTCTACATTTAAGACTAACTATTCTTTAGAATTTCTGTCTGCTTCAATTATTTTCTTTCTTCTAGTGTAATTTTTTATGTTGTTGTGTTCAAAAAGTGTGAGAGAACAATTGTTGGCATGTGTTGCATGTTGTTACCAAAGTGTTTAATCTTCTCAATTTAAATCATTATTCAATAAGAGGCATCATGGTTTGTGTCCATTAAAATTAGTTACTGAGATGATTTTAAGAATCACATATATTTATCTTCTTTATTAGTAATCTTGATGTTTGTAACTGTTGTGATGTTTTTTAAGTTGAGAAAACAAGATTAATTAATATTTTAATGTCTCTTATTTTCTCAAAAGTTTGAAGAATAAGACTCAAATACAGATACAAAAGGAGAGATAATGCAACTAGGATATATATATATATATATATATATATATATATATATATATATATATATATATATATATATATATATATATATATATATATATATATATATATATATATATATATATATATATATATATATATATATATATATATATATATATATATATATATATATATATATAATTTTAGTTCCTCTTTTATGTTTTTTCATAGAAATTTGATAAGATTTTTTTTTAAAATTTTAAATATAAAAGTATGAGAGGGAGATCAAAACTGTAATTCTATATATATATTCATTCATGTTTTTGATTATTTTTCATATTAACTTTATCACAATAGTCTAAATATATGTTTGGTTTGACTTTTGAAAGGGACAAAAGTAAATTTAGAGGTGTATAATTGATTCTGGTCATTTTAAGATGTTTGTTTAAACAAAAGTAAAATTAATTTTATCTTTAGAATTAATTCTAATTGAACTTAGAATTTGTAACTTCTGTCTTTAAAATTGATTCTGAATGATTTTTACATTGAAATTTATTTGTTCAGTTTACTTTTATATAAATATATTCAAACACAAATCAATTATGCTAAACTTAATTATAATAAAATTAATTATATCCAATTTAATTATATTAGAATCAATTTTGTCTACTGAGAATCCAAATATACCATAACACTTTTTTTTCTTTCATAAAAAATTATTTTTCTCGTATTTGTTTATATTTTTTTATAGTTCACTTTTCAGAACAACTACATTATTATGGCAGAAACGAAAAGTGATGAAAAGTTGTGAAGTTGGCTTCATACCAATTGCGAAAACCACTCATAAATTGTATTTCCTTAACATAAAAAAATGCTACATTTTACTGATAAATGTGTACGTTAAAAAGCAGACAATCCAAATAGAGAATTGTTGTTGGAACACTTATCGATCGAGCATTAGCAATGTGAATAATAAATTAAAATAATTCTTTAAGTTTTATATTCCTATTAGACAAATTTAATATCTTTTAACTGTTTACATAGTGGAGGTAACATGTTTTAATCATGGAAACCGTGTTAGATATTGTGTATATTTTCACACGTTTATTGACTAAAAAATAGATAGACAAGTACGGTATGTCTGGACGCTAGTAATATATATATATATATATATATATATATATATATATATATATATATATATATATATATATATATATATATATATATATATATATATATATATATATATATATATATATATATATATATATATATATATATATATATTGTTCTGGACTGGGCCCGACAGGCCCAAAAGCATTGCTAAGGCCCAGTCCAAAGAGACTTACTGAGGACCACGCCGACCAAAGGGTCACAGCCGTGCCCGACATCCTGATGTCCAACTCGACATCCTGCTGTCCAGCTCCACGTCCTGATATCCAGCTCCACCTCCTGATGTCCAGCTCGACATCTTGCCGACCAGCTCCACGTCCTGATGTCCAGCTCGAC